TGACTTATTCCTGACATCTTGATAGAAACCAATCTGATGTTATAGTTACTGTTGCAGGAAATGTAGTTCTGGCATCAGCTCTGGGAACAGCCCATGTCTTTAGGAAAGGGAAGGCAATAAGTGACCTTTGAGTTTGAAAAGGAGCTTGTATGACAGTGACATTCTCATACACCCCACCTGCTTTCTGAATTCCAGATGTGCTTGCTATTTTACATGGTTACAGGATTAGTCAAATAGGTCCAGACATAGGAACACATTTTATGCAGCTCATTCTAGAGCTGCACAAAGCAAGTGTGTTGCCCTTTGGATCTTGAGTTCACAATGCAACACTAACAGAACAAAGCAAACTTCAGCAACAGGTTTTTGTTTTTTCCCAACCTAAAATACTAGTCTGACCGCAGGACCCATCTCTTCTCTTTGTCCATCTCTTTCTTATTGAACCTTCAAGAAGGACATGGAGCTCTTGGGGTGAGTCCAGAGGAGGCTGCAAATATGATCAGAAGGCTGGAGCAGTTCTGCTGTGGAGACAGGCAGAGAGGGTTGAGGTTGTTCAGCCTGGAGAAGAGAAGGTTCTCCTTCCAGTACCCTAAGGGGACCTACAGGAAAGCTGGGAATGGAGTGATGCAATGAGGGGTAATGGCTTTGAACTGGAAGAGGGGAGATTTAGTTTAGATATTAGGAAGAATTCTTCATTGTGAGGGTGGGGAGAGCCTGGCCCAGGTTGCCCAGAGAAGCTGTGGCTGCCCCATCCCTGGCAGTGTTGAAGGGCAGGTTGGATGGGGCTTGGGGCAGCCTGGGCCGCGCTTGGAGCAGCCTGGGCTGCTGGGACGTGTCCCTGCCCATGCAGGGGGTTGGAAGTAGATAATCTTTAAGATCCCTTCCAACTCCATCCATTGTATGTTAGTTCAGCTCTGCAAGATCTCAATCTCTGGAATGGGAAAGGCAGCAAAACCTTAGATGCCTTGCACTGAAAAGCACCATCTACTTAATTGCCAAGTGTCTTCTAATTTGAACAGGGATCTGCAGGAATCAGTTACCACTTACCCATCAGGAATTAGCTCATGTAAACATAGGGTGATGTGCCCTTGGGCTCAGAGAACTGTCTTGACTGATACCTGGCTTTGTGAATTTATGCACATCTTGGAACTTGGATAAATTCCTAAAACCTGCCATCTAATTGTAAAGTTTCTAATAGCTCAATACAGAGCAAATATCCTTTTTTTTTTTCTTTTTCTGCATTTTGCTGTTAAAGCTGAAAACATAGCACTCTGGTTTTATTCCCTGTGCTTTTTCTTAAGGAAGATTCGACAACCCTAGTGGGAATATGAAGAAGTTTTTTATCTAAGATTTCAGATAATCTAATGAAATAAATAGTTATTTTCTGGATTAAGGCAGAAAGCACTAAGCTTGGGGAAGTGGAGGGGAAAACAGACCCTCCCCAATTTGTCTGCAGAGCACGTTGCATAAGGTCACAAGTGTCCTGCCTCGGATTCTCCTGTTTGTTGTATTACCTCATTTTAAAAATAAATGGTTGGATGTGTAGGGTTTACTTGAAGTCTTTTCAAGTTCTCTGGTCAGTGGGGAACTTGGAGGTTGTCTCCAAGACCACATATACAACACTTCTTAGCATCTGTGAGATGTACTTTCTGTTTTCTCACCTCTGGTAAGAATGTTCCAAACCTTTGCAAGCAGAGCTGGGAATGTTGGGCAGAGATGGCATTAAAAAGCTCTGAAGCAGCAGTTGAAATCTAAGAAGAAAGCTGATGATTTTGCTGCTGGCTGCACGTATGGCCCTTATCTCTGCTTCACTGTCCACAACTGCAACTTCTGAAAAGCAACCTGAAGGTAATTTGAGGATTTATGGAAGAGAAGGAAACCCTGCATGTGTGTTAAGAGGGGCAGGCTGGGAGGAGGTGAGATGGGAGAGGAAATGAAAGAGCAGCAGAACTCCATGCTGCCCTCCATGGCCGTGCTTGTTTTTCACAAAGGGACTTTTTGCAATCTACCTTATCCTGTTTACAAAGAGGAGCAAAAAAAATAATAATAAAGAAAACTAATGTGGAAAAGGATCCACACTAGGGACTACTTGTAGCTGCCAGTCCAAGATTTCCCCCTTGCAAGACATGCCAAAATGTATCAAGCCTCAAGCAGGAGTTTCTTTAAAATGGAGTTAATGAAAGAGACTCATCCTGACAGCAGTTGAATCTTGAAGTTATATATTCAGCAGATCAGTAATAGCTGATTTATTTTATTTTTAATTTGGAATGAAAATAACAGGTCACTTGAGTGAACATGTAGGATGGTGATTGTATTCGGATAAAGATTAAGCTGATGAAGGAAAATTCCCATAACACACCCCAGCTGACATCAAATTGCATGTTCCAAATTATAGGCCCTGAGACAGTGTGTGTGGAACTGTATTAAATAGTAAAATCAAGCTTGATTAGTCTGTGTTCCTCAAGAAACTGAGGTTGACATTTGTCCAGAAAGTTATGGAACGATTGGCACAGCAAAGCAGAAGATGTTGGGCAAAGAATAATCCTCTGCACATAAGTGAGTGTGTTTTTTTTCCTTTGTGCAGCTGTCAGGGAAGTCCACTGTTGGAAGAAGTTGTTCTTAAAGGATTCGACCATTATTACCCACTTTGGAAGAGTTTATGATGGCCCAGCACAGGCCATAAATACATACATATATGGTCAGCAGTAATAATTCATAAAGTACAGCTTGGTCCTGTAAAAGGGTGTTAACAGGATGAATTAACATCATGTGGTGGTTTCTTGGGTGATTGACTCTTCAAACCATGGAGCTTTGTAAATGTTCCTCCAGGAATCTCCCCAGTTTTCAGTAGATCTGTCCTCTGGGGTGGCTTCTGCAGCTCATACAGCATGAAACACGTTTGGGGTTTTAGCACTTTAGGATCCGAGGAGTTGGCCGAACGGAGCCTGGAGTGGCGATAAAATAATTGCTTCAGCCTTTGGTGAAACATCTGTGTTGTTGGTGAGCATGGCTGACAGCTGTGATTTATCCTTTCCTTCCTTTCTAGTGATAGACACCACACATCCAGTGCCATTCCAGTTCCAAAGAGACAGAGCTCAAGCTTCGGCAGAGTGGATACCGGCTTTTCCAGTGGGATTCCTTCTCCGGAGAAAGGACTCCGAAAACGAGCCAGCACGGGGAACGAAAGACTCCAGTACAAAACTACTCCTCCTAGTTACAACTCTGGTTTAACACAACCTGTTCCTGTCACAGCCCGGGTGGGAGAGTTAGATAAAAAGCCTGGATCTCTCTCTTCCTCCTTGGATACCTCCATGGACTCCTCGAAAGGAAATCCCAAGAAAAGCGAGGACTCGTGTGGCAGTTTGAATGGAGAAAATGGGAACCTCAACAACCCCCAAGACCCTCAGGAGTCTTTCCTAGGACAAAGTAGTGCAATAAATGGGGCCTTTGTGGCTGCTGGGTGCTCTGGCACTGCAGGCAACGAGCAGCCCCGTGAGTTTCATCCTCCCCTTGGCCCCGTCCCGTGTTGCACCGTGGAGCAAGCGGAGGAGATCATGGGGATGGAAGCGACAGGGTTCACCACAGGAGATCAGCTAGAAGACTTTAACTCCATCCCGGTGGAACATGCTGTGGCAGTGGAGTGTGATGAACAAGTCCTGGGGGAGTTTGAGGAGTTCTCTCGAAGGATCTATGCACTGAATGAGAACATGTCCAGCTTCCGCAGGCCGCGCAAAAGCTCCGACAAGTGAGCTCGGACCAGGGATTTGTTAGCAGACATGGAGGTGAAATCAGTGGGATAGAGATCAAATTGCACTTATTCTTTATATGAATTATAAAAATAAATAAATAAATTAAAAACTAAAGCTGTTCCTATGGTGTTAGACAAACGGACTTGAGCACGATAACACAGGATCATGGTATATTCACAGCCCAGGTAAATTTGGATTCTGCTCCCAATCCTTTCTGGGTTTTCATCTTCTGTTGGAGTATTTTTCTTTCAAGCATTGGAATCCATTTATAAAAGGCTTTCCTGGAAACAGCTTCTAGTGCTGATCAGGCCCTTCTATGAATATTTGTTAATTTCTGAATTATTGTTTAGAGTTAAATTGAATCTTTTCAGAAGGAAAGAGAAAAGAAAGTTAATATAAAAATACATTTATGGTAAGAGCTCCTTTACCTTCTCCCATGGACTCCTGTGTTTTCTTGAGCAATGCAGTCTGTTACAGAAATACCTTGAATTTGTTATAATTGGACAGCTTTCTCTTGGCTGTGCTCTGTAGCCTTTGAAGTTCTAGTTTGCACTGATGGGTCTTCAGTTGATGGTGTAAACGTGCCAGAGAGTGAGCACCCGTGTAATATCTGCAGTTCCCTTGCACCTGATTAATCAGAAATGACATTTCCCCCACCCCCCTTTCCTCCACACTCACTGTTCCTACCAGTAGAAGCCTTGAGGACTAAATCCCCTTGAAGGTTTCATATTTAAAAAAAAACCTCTTGGCCTGACCATTCCCTGCTTCAGCTGGGCAGAGACCTCATGAGTGTGGCATCTCAGTGGGGTTCATCTGCCACCCTCTGAGCTGTCCAGTGGGGACAGCTGTGAAATGCTCCACAGACCACCTGCAGGAAAACCCAGACTGAAAATGCAGCCAGCACTTTGGAATCAGGCAAATTTGTGGAATCTCTCTCCACCCTGGGTGGAAAGGAGGCCCTGAATGTTAATTCCTCTACTTTTAACCATCTGTGTTTTCAAAGAAGAGGCTTCCAGAGGGTTGCTCTTAGGGAGGTTACCACTGGCACCCATGTTCAGCTGCCCTGAGGGGGAAGCAATTTGCAGCCTGCTTTGTGGTTCCTGGTATTTGTTTCAGTTTGGATTTCATTGCTCTTGCTTTCTATATTGTATACCCAAGAATCTGGGCTCTCTTGTGAGCTCTCAAATATAAAAATATATAGCAGAATAAAAAACACCTCATCATGCCTGGCTTTTTTTTTTTTCCCTTCCCTGGTCTGTGTTTTCTTTTGAACTGAGTCTTTGTCCCAACTTCCCTGTCAGACCAGCCTGAATTTACATTTTAAAATGTGGTTCTGTGTAAACTCAACTATCTCTTGTCAAAATGTGAGAACCAATAGACATCATAGCACTGTTCTAGGTAAGCATTTCTGCAGGTAACACCTTCATGGTGGTATCCAAATTATATTCACATTTCTTCTGTTAGCTTTGGAGGGTTGTGTCTGCAGTTGGGCTGTTGGATCCAGCCTTTCCTCAGTGATCCTTTATCTGAGGTCTGTCCCAGTACGATGTGCTAGATGGAAGCACTGATCCTGTAAAGCATTGGATGTGATTCCAGGTGCAGGCTTGGTCATCAGGATGGACACATTCATGAGTATCTTCTACCCTGGATAAGCTCCTCTCTCCCAACCTCATGCAAAGCTTCCCTAAAAGAAACTCTGCAGCAGCTTCAAGCTCTGCCATCGTCTTGGTAGGAAATGATCACTGTGCTTTGACTTCCTGAGAGCCAGCTATGATCACCTGAGAGCAAAGCACTTCCTGATGTCCCTGCCCATGCAGGGGAGTTGGAACTTGATCATCTTTAAGGTCCCTTTCAACTCAAATTCTCTGATTCTGTAATGAAATAGGAAGCAGCTTCTCTGATTGTATCTCACCACCTCCTGATAGCAGCGTCTTTTGAGATTAAATATGGGGACACTGAGGCAGTCGTGCTCCCTGGGGGATGGGATCTGGCCTGCTCAAAGCAGCACAGATCCCTTGGTAGGCACTACCCCTTTATCTTCTAGAATGGAAAGGCATTAGCTGGTGTGTGGGGGGGACTTCTCAAAGCAACCCAAAGAGTAGTTGTGAACATTCGTAGGCAAACACGAAGCAACATGTGGAATCGGGTTCCTAGAGCAGCACTGGGACTTTGGATCTTTTAATGGTGGGTTTTGTTTGGTTTTTTTCTTTAGTTGAGCCTTTTCTCAGGTTGTACCCGACCAAACGAAGTCTCTGTTTTCCTCCCTGATGTTGTGTCACTGTTCCTGCTTGAGACCTGTCATGGTTAATGTGTCAAACACGATGGCTGATTTCTGCGTCTGTCACACCAAGCTGCTTTGACAAGAGTTTCTCTGGAGGTACCTTTAGTAGCCTTTAAATTGTCCCCATGGTTCTCCTCCACTTTCATCACCTTCTACAGAAAAGGATGGTGCAAAGGGGGGGACAGCACCATAGGGCTAATTAAAACATGGGCAAACTCCTCATTCCTGTGTGGATTGTACAGACTTTATCCACCTCCTGGCTTTCTATTTTGTGATTTATTTTCTCCCCCACCCTGTAAATTACTTTGAAAATAGCATAGTGGGAGAGAGACCAATAATGGGTTTGAAGGAGAGATGATATATCACAGTGTGCTTTAAACTGTCAAGAGCCTTTCAGTTCCTACCCAGCTGTGACATTGTTAAATGTCTGCAAATGTCTTCAAGTGGAGAAAACATTTCATTGCAATCTTTTCCCCTCACTAGAAATTCCTAAGATTTTTGAGAATATTAGTTTTGGAAGATCATATCCCACTCTATTTTTATAGCAAGTACAACAGCATTGGCTTATCCTTGCTTGACCAGGTATTTAAAATAAGCAAAACCAGAATATCCCAGAGTAAATGACACATTAAAACTATGTTGGTAATTGCAGGAAAGCTCATCTGTATTTATAAAATAAAACTGATTAGTATCTCTCAACTTGTGTGTCTTCTCTTAATGTCTCCTTTGTGTTTGTTTTATTTGCAAGCCTGATTTGAACCACAATGTCCTCCCCACACTCTTTGGCTTATTGTTCATCAAGCCCACATGTGAATATTTGGCCAAGAGGGTTTGCTAGGAGACCTGACTGCCTTGTTGCCTCCAAATTCTGCTTCACACGAGATGGTACCTGAAGTTGTTTTTCACCCACCTCCCCAAAAAGATGGCACACAGCTGGAAAAACAGCCCACAGTGAGGCTGGGAGGCAGCTGGCTTAGCAAAACTTTTATGGATAGTGGAAACACCCTGTTCCCTCCTCAGGGAGGCATTGCTACTCATCCAGCACCTTCTGTGATCCCAGCTAATATGCAACATATGTCTGACCAAAGCTGATGTTCCTGTTGAACAGGAATCTTTGGGAAAGGGCTCCACAGCACAGAATCACTGCTGGGAAGCAGTGTCATGGGAAGAGCTGCAGGTTCTCTCCAGGCATCATCAGTGCAACAGATTTAGTATTTATTTTTGGTGGGTTTGGGTTTTTTACTTTCCTTTTCTCCCACCCAGTTTGTCAGCAGAGAGGAAAATGCCAGGACACCAACTGGATAGTCCTGGAGCTGAAGTGGGAAGATACAGGAGAGAAATTTTGCTCTCAGCTGTTTTGCACCATTGATCTGCTTTATTAAAATGTGGTTGCATTAAAGTGAGTAAGAAGCTGTGAGTGGAAAAGGTTTGTATTGAAGTACAACTGGAGGTGCTGCTTGAGAGTGGACTTGTTCTGGATAAACCTTGGGCTCTTCTCTCATTTTGCCACCTTTTGGATGGGCAATTTCTCCTTGGTTTCTGGGTTTTGACCTTTTTTCAGGGTTTTTCTTTTATCTTGTTCTCTGTGTCCTCTGAATTAATCTGGTTTAGCTGATATCTTTGGGCAGCCATGGTGGAGAACAAGTCCTGTGAGGAGCAGCTGAAGGAACTGGGATTGTTTAGTTTGAGGAAGAGGAGGCTGAGGGGAGACCTCATTGCTCTACAACTAGCTGAAAGGAGGTTTGTAGGGGGGTGGGAGTTGGGCTGTTCTCCCAAGGGAATAGTGACAGGCTGAGAGGAAATGGCCTGAAGCTGATCCAGGGGAGGTGTAGACTGGATGTTAGATAGAATTTCTAAATTCTAAATTGCTGCTGCTGCTGACATTTGTCCTGTACATATTATGTACATATAATCTGTTAGACTTCTCAATTTAACTTTATGCTGTTACTTTTAATAGGTTGTTTTGTTTCACCTTTGAAATTCTGGATTGCTGACTTCTAGAACAGCTGTGGCCATTCTGGTCTGGATTGTCTTGGTTTTAGCAGGAACAGAAGGACCCTTTCTGTGTTATACTCACTTGTTAAAAGAAATTAAAGCACTGGCCATCAAAAAATAAAAACAAACTCAAAACCTTTCAAACAAAGCAAGAATGCTTTCTGCTCATTGGGTATTACAAAGATTTCATTGACACAGAACCATTAAACCTTGAGTTGGCTGCAGTAACCCATGTGAACTGGCACTGCTTCCCCCAGCTACAGTGAGCAGAAGCTTTCTGCTCTTGCTCAGGGGAATTATTCTCCCAGGAATGTCCATGGAGGAGAATGGAACCTGTGTTTTCCAAGCTTGGATGCCCAGCCAGCTCTTTGTGGGAGGAGACAGGAGCCCTCAAGCTGATGCTGAACACCTGGATTGATTATCCACCATAGCTGAAACAAGTCCAGGCTGTTTGTTTAGGCAAAACTAAGTGTAGTTTCCTTGGTGAGATGGGGAATAAATCTAACACTTGCTGTAATTATTGGGTTTTTTGGCAGCAGGGCTCTGGCTTTTCATCCTGTGTCCACAAGGCAGCAGTTGTACGTGGTGTGTGTGCAAGTGCCAGAGGCCTCGTGTGACTGCAGCAACCAGCCCTCAGCTCCTGCAAGGGCAAGTCACAGAGTGCTCAGGGTTGGAAGGGACCTCTGGAGATCATTGAGTCCAACCCCCCTGCCAGAGCAGGACCAAAACTAGGGCAGGTCACTCAGAAAGGCATCCAGGTGGGTCTTGAAAGTCTCCAGAGAAGGAGACTCCACAGCCTCTCTGGGCAGCCTGGCCCAGGGCTCTGTCACCCTCCCAGTCAAGAAGTTCTTCCTCCTGTTGAGGTGGAACTTCCTGGGCTCCAGTTTGAATCTACTGCACCTCATCCTATCACAGGACACCCCTGAAAAGAGTCTGGCCTCTCCTTCCTGATGCCCACCCTTCAGATATTTATATAGACTAAGTAGATCCCCTCTCAGTCTTCCCTTCTCCA